ACACCTTTAATCCCAGCACTCGGGAGGAAAAGGTAGGCAGATCTCTGAGTCCACAGCCAGCTTGGTCTACAGAGTGAGTTCCAGAACAGTCAGGGCTGTCTCAAAAAACAAGATTTCTTTCTCTATTATTTAAAGTAACTTATTTATTGAAACTTTGGGAACTCAACATCATACACCCTAATTCTGCTCACCTCCCAGTCTCCTACACCCATGACATCAGGATCAGTTCTCCCTCACCTGTGGTGTATGGGGGGGGCATTCCTCCCAAGTTCAGGAGGGTTAGGGCCAGCTCTCTTGCTGCGGGGTCCAGCAAGAGGCGAGCCCGGCTCAGCATGGCCCTCTGATTGTATAATACATTGTTTTATTGTGGTCCCAAGGTGACACAGGTCACAGACATCCACACAGACTCCAGGTGCGGCAGGACCACGAACCCAGACATGGCCGTTCACAGCAGCTTGAACCCAAATGAATAAGAGAGATTCTCATCTGTGGCCCAGTTAGTGGAGCCCTTGACTAGTATGCTGAGTCCCCAGTCTGACCCCCAACACCAGGCAAGCACCACACCCTTGAAAGCCCAGCACCCATGAAGTGGAGGCAGAAGGATCATGAATTCAGGGTCATCCACAGTTATATAGGGACTTTGAGGAAAGCCTGGGCTACATGAGACCCTGTCTCAAAATGGGGAAACTGAAAAAGGGTAAAAACTTATCCTAGATGCATTACAATAGTATGTGCTATGGAATAACAATACTGACCTGCCTCTGCAAGTGCCGGCAGAGCAGGAGCTACGATGTGTTCAAACAAGGATGCACAGGAAATAAGGTAAACAGCAATGCTCAACAGACCACCCATCATCAGTCAGTAGGTGGTACAAGTACACACCCACACACCGAAGTCAACCAGGAGGGGAAGGATGCACAGCGAGCCTCTTCCAAATCTGCAGTTTTCTTTTTTTCTTAAAGATTTATTTATTGGGGCTGGAGAGATGGCTCAGTGGTTAAGAGCATTGCCTGCTTTTCCAAAGGTCCTGAGTTCAATTCCCAGCAACCACATGGTGGCTCACAACCATCTGTAATGAGGTCTGGTGTCCTCTTCTGGCCTGCAGGCATACACACAGACAGAATATTGTATACATAATAAATAAATAAATCTACATGCAGACAGAATATTGTAAACAAAATAAATAAATAAATCTTTTAAAAATATTTATATATATAAATATATATTTATATATAATATATAAATATGTAAATATATATAAATAAAATTTGTTTTTTCGAGACAGGGTTTCTCTGTACCTTTAGCACCTGTCCTGGAACTAGCTCTTGTAGACCAGGCTGGCCTCAAACTCACAGAGATCCGCCTGCCTCTGTCTCCCGAGTGCTGGGATTAAGGGTATGCATCACCACCTGCAGTTTTCTTTAAAATAAATAGATAGATAGATAGATAGATAAATAAATAAAGCAAAGTCTTAGGAGAGGGCAGAGTTCTGTGGTGTGTGCATACAGATTTACTTGATTATCCAATTTGCATGTAGTGAATAAGTTTTAATTCTTAATTTATATACACCCTCCTACACTCATATTCTTAGAGCTGTCATTTCTAGTAGTCAAGGGGTAGACGGAACCTCAATGTCTACTGATGGGTGAATGGGCAAGCTATATGCAGGCTCTACATGCGATGGGACTATTAGTCAGTCTTTTTAAACGTAGGCAATTTTGACACTTAGTTCAGTGCTGAAGAACCCGCCTGTACTACCTGACAGTATGCTACTACAGCTGTATTGCAGAGCCGGCACTATAGTACCATTCCCGAGCTGGGCAAGGGCCTGGAGACTGAAACACACAAAGACACACAGACAGAGCTGCGGGTCATCCTTGAAACAGGAATGCCCCTAGAATGCCCCCCTTTATTGTGTCCCAGGGCAGCTTATATAGGGATAGCCACGCCCCAGCCAAACACACCAGGAACTCCTGAGGGTCTCTCGCTCAGAGCAGCTGTAGGCACTCAGATCAGGGGAAAACAAGCTGTTTACAAGAAATTCAGGATCTGGAGGTTCACAGCTCCTAACACTTGTGGACATTATGTTTAGTGAAATCAGACAGAAGCGGGAGGGACTCACAGGATCCCACTCATGTAAGACTCCTCCATCGGTCAAATTCATACGGACTGAAAACAGAACGGTGGCAGCCAGAACCTGGAGAGGCAGCAACGGAAGCTCGTGTTGGAGAACGCTTTCGGACCGGGACCTGATGAGAGGAGCTCTGGAGTGGGCTCGGGATCGCGGTCACACAACGAAGCGAATGAACTGGACACCACCCAGCTGTACACTAGAAGTGACCAGAGCAATCCGTTCTGTCGCGTGTGTCACACTTTCAAGTTCTTGACTTTAAAAATTGCAGTAATTATATGTGCCCGTCAGAAAGGGAATTTCCTAAAGTTTGGGTTATCATGTAAGAGAATATTATACATGAAAGAAAGAAACGGAGAGGGGGCAGGGGAAGAGAGGGAGGAGAGAGAAAGGGGAGGGGGCAGGGGGAGAGAGGGAGGAAGGAAGGAGAGGGGGCAGGGGGAGAGAGAGAAAAGGGGACGGGGCAGAGGGAGAAAGGGGGGAGAGAGGGAAAAGCGGGGGGGGGGGGCAGGGAGAGAGGGAGGGAGGGAGAAAAAGGTCGTGCCACATTTCTGGCTGTTTGCCAAGATCCAGTGGCGGTCACCAAAAAGAAGTGAACACTGGGGAAGGGTGGCATCATCGGCACTGAACAGACCATCTCCGGAAACTACTCGAGAAACGAGAGAGCGCGACTGCTCTGATCAAGGAATGGGGAAAGAGAATTTAGAAGAAATTCCAGATCTAGCTTGTCAAAACAAAATCAACCGGAAGACACTCCTCCACATCTCCACATCACCAACAGTACAGAGGAAGAGAGGAGGAGGGCTACGTGCGCCCACCTGACACCCACCTGACACTCTGGCACTGGCCTTGAGACAGAGCAGGGACAGGTGTCTGCCTGAGCCTTTCCCAAAAGTCCTGGATGCTCAACAGAAACGGTTTCCTGAGCTGCAGCTCACTGAGCAGAAACAATTCGGTTCCTGCCCCAAATGCATTACATTTGGGCCAAGCTCAGCGCTTGAGCCTGGTTTTCATGCTGCTACTGCGCCGTGACTCAGTCGGCGCCGCTCTGCGCTTACGTCATTTTCTCTTTAACTTCCAGCAGTCTCTTTGGAGGCTCTTAATTCCTTACTTTCTGAGTAGGATGTGCGCTTACCATAGCATTATTCTCAGTTCCGTGCTTCTTGTCCATGTAGAGGAACATGTGGAGATAAGAGGCTGTTTTGTTTTAAAGAAAGTAGGCACTCGGAAAGAATTGTATTTGTTTTAAAAACAAAACAGACATTCAGGATTTCTCCCGCAATGTCACTTTAGCAGCTCAAGAAAGGAAAATATTCATGGATAACTCCTAAAAACGCTATGCCTGGATTTGGTTTATTTTAAAATAAATCTGAGTTTTGCTTCACTTACCAGTAAAACTCATACCCTCTCTGAGTCAGTAACCAAAATCCTGATTTGAAGGTCATCCCAACAGCTAATCGCAATACTGTAAAAGTCCACAAGGTGGCGCTAGAGACCTATGGGCCAAGATTCGTAAACTTAAAAACATCAAAGCAAAAGAGCGGCCGTCTAAGCGGCCAGGATTAGAAAAATTAAAAATAAGAAAAAAATAGGTTAATATGAAAGCCATCTTGCTCTTGTCTGGGGGAAGGCTGTCATCCTAATTACATTTGAAGTCTAATTACATACGTAAAGACCCAAACACCAAGCTCAAGTTAATGAACTTTTCCCTCTTCAAAGCAGGTCTTCACTCAGAAGCTGTAGCATGGGCTCGCCACCTTAAATACATTTCGGGGGCTCCCAAGTACACAGCCCACGTGTGTTGGGGGTGTTGGTCACATTTGTATTGGGAAGATTTTATCACGTTCCTATTAATATTCTCATTGCACTATAGTAAACTGTTCTACGTTCTCAAGAGTTTCTGTGTATCCCGCAAACAGGAATAAATCTTCGTGAGTTGAGCTTCAACTCAAAACACACTGTGTGGCCTTCACAATCTCCTATCAGGTCAGCAACAGTCCGGGAGCATTCGCCGCTGCTGTCCTTGCTCACACAAGCTGCTGAGATGAATCGGAGTGTGAGCCAATGAAGCGGTCTCAAAACCTAAAGAAAGAGAAACCGTAATGGTCCCGTGGCTGCGGCGCTGCAGGTGCCCCTTGGCCCAGGTGCCTTTTATGCTCGCGGTCTCTTGGAAGTGATATCATACACCCCCGCATTCGGAAACATCTCTTCAGGTAGACACGAGTTTTTTGATGTCTTGCACCCCAGTTTTAAAAACCCTATTGGCCATTTTAAAACTTATGATCTGCTTCTCAAATGGGCACTTAAATACGAAAGCCCGCTCCATCTGACCCACTCTGAAGATTCTGTGCATTCCACAGATTGTATCTATAACCGCACATTCTATGTGAAGCACCCCAAAAAGACAGATGAGCGCCTGCTCTCTGGTGTGTTTCTTTCAAGAAGCAGTGGTCAACATTCTTCTGGGCTCATTTTCTTGGATATTAAAAGGTATCAACAAGCCAGGCGGTGGTGGTGCACGTCCTTAATCCCAGGACTCAGGAGGCAGAGGGCAGGCCAATCTCTGAGTTCAAGGCCAGCCTGATCTATAAGAGCTGGCTCTAAGACAGGCTCCAAAGCTACAGAGAAACCCTGTCTCGAAAAACCAAAGGAAAAGGTATTAACAAAACGGAATACACGACAGTACCAGGCTAGCTGGGGGGTGGGTGGGAGAGCTAGGTCAATTCCACAGCAAATCTGAGAACTGGGAATTAGGTATTGGAAGCCTAGGGAAAGTGTACGGTAGACCATGCTCCACCATGAATGGAAACCTCACAGACCTGTTAGCCTGTGTGCTAACCATTTAATACCCTTGATTTCCAACTCATAATCACTTTTGAGACAAGACTCAAAAACCATTTTATTAAACTGAACAAAAAGCCTGTTACAATATCATCAAGCCTTTATCAGAAATCAGTACATATGTGAGAATACACAGCCAAGATGAGCCATCAACATAAGCAGTAGAAGCTTAAATAACATTCAGACTTCTATATTTAATAGGCAGAAGAAAATAAAACTGAAAAAGCTATTTCAATTTCACAATTCACAGTTGATTGGTTTGAAGCCTGTGACATGTCAATCAGCTCTGTAGCCCCGCCCCCAATCCCGATGCCTGCTCAGATCTTCCACCCCCAAGCGGAGACCATTCCTGGGCACAGTCCCACCTCTCTGGTTTGGACTGGCGCTTCTCAGCTGCATTCTTAAGAGTAAATCAGCAAAAGCACATTTACAGCTCGCCATGTGATTGATCACGTGAGGGGTTCCAAACTCTCTCTTGGCTTTCTACTTCATTTCTAGCTTAAGACAACCACTGCGTGAAAATGCACCCTTGATACTGAAAGCGAGATCCGTGTTGCTTCTGGATCGAGAGCACGCATCCCAGAGAAGACATATGGGTCTCCGCAGACCGCTGGGATGCTTGCCAACAGAGCCTGGCACACCCAGTAAGGCATTTCAAAGACGACACACCAAACCCACGCCAGGTCACTGCGGTGGACTGGGGGGACCACAGGTGAGCAGAGTCGACATGAGACTCTTACAAAATGACACACTGGCTTACAGAGCCTTTGACAGGCTTTTGGTATTCAGGTACCAAAAGAAGGCAGAACAACGACCAGCCACTTCCAAGAGGTTTGTTCCCAAGTATGGACACTGTCTTTGCCCTAAGACAGTATCACATCCTGACATACGGAATCACCTTCTAAAGAAAGAAAGAAAGGAAGGACGGAGGGAGGGAGGGAGGGAGGGAGGGAAGGAAGGAAGGAAGGAAGGAAGGAAGGAAGGAAGGAAGGAAGGAAGAGTCAAGTAGAGAGTGCACAAGTGGTCAGGGATAAAGGCCACCATGTCCACAGGGAGGGGCTACTGGAACACTTACATTAACAATGACCATGAACGCCATCTAAAAACAAAACAATCAGACAGCCCCTGCATTCGTTGGTGTTCAACAGTGCAGTGAGAGTAGAGCAATTGCTTTGGACTTAAAAACTACGATTATCGCCTGGCATGGTGGTACATGCCTGCAATCCCAGCACCGAGAGGTGGAGGCAGGAGGATTGGGAGTTCAAGGTCATCCCGGCTACATAGTAGACAGAATTAAGACTAGCCTGGGCTAGATGAACCTTTACAAAAGAAAACCACAACAAATGCCCAAGAATATCTTTATGTCAAAAGAACTGTGAAATGTCAAAAAAAAAAAACAAGATTCTAATTCACAAAAATAAATACAGTCCTACTAAGAGCCCAAAAGAAGCATTCAGTTCACTTTGGAAGCCTAAGACTAATATCCAGAAGCAATCGGGTTTGGGCCCTGAGTTATCTGCCCATCAGTCTCCCTTCAGTTCTGCAGAGCAGGTGGGCACAAGGTGGGGACAGGCAGTTTTCCTCAGCATGACTGGCTGCAGACAGCCCTAAGGCTCGCCCACCCCTCAATGGGCGGGACTCTTGTCTTAGCATTGATTCTGCTACATACAGGATAGGAGACTGAGTGGCCACAGCGCCCAGGGAGGGCTCACAGCTAGTCCCGTCGGGGATGCAGCCTGTGAGGGCCAGGTGACCTGGTGCAGGCTTGCTGGAAACTCTAAGCACACTCAAGAACAAAAACAAGGAAGGCTGATGTCACAGGAGAGAACCAAGACTGGTCACTGGTTCATGTTATGGCCTACACATGCGGCTTTGCTAAGGGATTAGCGGTTAAATATTAAATCCCAGTGCACGACACCCAAAGCGTGGGCACTGTCTGAAATGGATACGGAGGCATGTGTCCTGACGGACGGATGGACAGACGAACACAGTGACGGGCTTCTGGGGAGAAACGTGGAAACACAGGTGGGGAGATGTTGGCAGAGGAGGACACCCACCGCTGGGTATGCTGCAAACGCTTTCCGCCTTGGCAGATAACCGCAATTCTCCATAATAAAACACAGAGACCAGCATTACTATTTCTACACAAAAATCAGCTTAGTCATACATTCAAAAGGTTGTAAAGACTCGGGGAATTTGAAGTTTTAAGTTAATCAAAGTAAGAAAACTGTTGTTTTCAAAGGCCTCAGGCTTGCTTGGGAAGGCCCCTCCATCCACACTAGATGGCCCGGAACTACTGTCCCAGGCTGTCCCTCGATGCACTTTATTTGCAGATACATAATTAATTCTCTCTGCTCGACAGAAGAACCAAGCCAGAGCATGATCAGCGTAGGAGGTTTTTTCTAACATCAGCATCTCAAGCCAAGACCTCTGCATCATCAAACATAGCCCATCCAGGCAACTACTGCCAGCCAGGGCGACCAGGACATAGCCCACCCAGGCAACTACTGCCAGCCAGGGCGACCAGGACATAGCCCACCCAGGCAACTACTGCCAGCCAGGGCAATCAGGACATAGCCCACCCAGGCAACTACTGCCAGCCAGGGCGACCAGGACATAGCCCACCCAGGCAACTACTGCCAGCCAGGGCAACCAGGACATAGCCCAACCCGGCATCTACTGCCAGCTGCAGCAACCAGACGTAGCCCATCCAAGAAACCGGTAACCAGGTTTCTATAGAATGCAGTTTTACCCAACAGCAAATTGAGATTGCACTAAGAAAGGGGGAAGAAAAGACATAGAACAGAATTGACAAGGACCTTTACTATTTCAAGCTATTTTATGGACTGCGGCTAGTTGCATTAAATCCTGTCATTTCTACCCTCTGTGAAACGCTAACGCTTGCTAAAGGCACTCATATTTCGGGCTTAACGGACACAAGGTCACATGGGACCATAAGCCAGGACTTTTTTGGTAGCTACAGAGAAAGGGAGTTCCATAAAGAATCTCTACTGATAATGGGAAGGAATGCCACCACACACCGTTCATACAAATGTCTCATGAGAAGCTAGTTACAGAGTTAGTGTCCACTCGGCCACACTGACAAGGTGGCTCACAGGGAACTCACTCACCCACAACAAAAAGCAACAAAGCATTTTTATAGCGTATAAAAAACTCCTAAGAGAGACTTAAAGTAGGAGGGCAAGGGAGAACTTTCCTAAAACACCTGTTCAACTATCTACATTAGACTTCGGCATACACCTACAGCATACGTCCCCACCTCGAAAGACACTCGACTGCTTGGGCACACGCCTCACAGCTAGTAAATACTTTCAGCGAAATTCTGACACTTACAGAGCTAGCCTGCTGCTCCAGAGCCCCTCCATAGAGAAAGCCCCGTGTAGACACTTCCTGCCTGCCCAGACTCATTTCACATCACCATCCTTAGACGGCCAAGGCTGGGTCCCAGGTGACACAGGATGGGAGAGCCCGCTGTCACAGGAAGACCGAACTGGGTGGTCAAATATATGCATAGATGCGCCATTTCTTCTCCTTATTTAGACTGCAGACTGCGGGCCACTCAAAGCTCTGCAGGACAGCTTTGCGGGGCGAGGGGGTTGATTCGCCTCGGATCACAGGACACACACAAGCTCTCTCTCAGCACGGTCCGTCACTCACTGCCAGGGCATCGAAACTCCTCGCTGACCTCCCAAGCTCACAGTGAACTAAAAGGTAAAGACTTGAGGAGAAAGTTCTCTTCAAGACAAACCGTGTGTGGGGGGGGAAACAACAATGCAAAATTCAGCTTGTGTGAGGCAGGCAGGCAAGCGTAAACCAGCAGGCACGTGTTTGCAAGTGGCAGGACACAGACCAACCCAGACCAGCGAAGTCTTCTGCTCAGGGCGAAGTCTAAACGACCAAAGGACATGGGCTGTAGCTGGACTTCAAAGCTGATGCCCTCCAAAGGCAGAGGGATCCAGATGGGAAGTGGACCCTTCCTTTAGGCCTTGGATCTGGGTGTTCCGATTGCCCTCCTAACAAGACACAGTCATGAGAGAGGACAGCAATGCTGCACATGGATGGACCTGAAATCTACTTCGTTCTGGACTAAGGCTTCCTTTGTTTAGATGCCTGTCCATCCATGACTGTGGCATATCATGAGACAGACGATTCCTGGGAAAGAGGGGGGGTTATCCCACAGCACATCATATAACAGGACAAGGCCTCACAAAATGAAACCAAGAGAGAGCTCACTTAACTGACTCAGACGCCACCACAGCTTGGTCAGACATGGGATAATTTTGACACCAAGTTCATTTCGCGGGACACTGTACCATGTCGTCTCAATACCCCGCTACCCTTGGCCCCACCTACTGAACAGTGCAGCCTCAGCCCAGGGAGCTTCCCAGCGTTCCATGCGTCCACACGACCTCTGACAATGACCTTGGCAGTTACTTATCAGCTTCCAGAGTTTAAAAACAAGTTGAGTTTTTGTAGGCAACCTGGCACTGGAAGGTCGTAGAACAAGTGCAAAGGAATATAGAAATAACTCTATAAATCTAACATTTCTCTCTAAAAGAAACCATACTTAGGCGTCCCTAACATCCATTAAGGGCACTGGGAGACTAGAAACCTGAATTCACGAGGCTTGAAAACACATCAAGCCGTTAAGTCCACTGTTTTTTTTTGTACATACAGGAGAGTGGGGGGATGTGCAGGAGAGTGGGGGTGTAGAGAGTGGGGGGACATACAGGAGAGGGGAGATTTACAGGAGAGTGGGGTCCATACAGGAAAATGGGGGCTGTACAGGGGGATGAGGGGTATACAGAAGAGTGGGGAAAGACACATCCTTTGACTTCATTCCCAAAGGAAAAACTCAAAGCAGATGAATGTCACTTTTATAAAATGGAAATCTATACCCAGAATCTTTCAACGTTATTCTGAGATAAAGATGAGGTGAAATTCTCTCTGTGGTATCACATAAAACTAGGGGGCAGGGGGTATGTATCTTTAGACACCAACACAGAGACACACAGACACACACCCCTGCAGAGAGAGCAAATGAGATTGTTAAAACAATCACAGAACCAAGTGGCCGGCACGATGCTTCAATCTACCGAAGAATTATACTTAGCAGCAAAATGAGGAACCAAATGGCTAACAAGATACGTGCTAAATGGCCCTACACTGACCAGCTCTGTAGATGGCCACAGAAGGGAGGGGCTCTGGGATGGGGAGCTGCAAACGGAGATGAACGCTCAAGGGAACACTGCTCTTTCTTCTGTTGCGAAGGGGGAATACTTTCACCAAATAGTTCTACTTTTCAAGACACCTTCATTTCAGCAGGAGACGGTTGAACTGGGTACTGTTCTAGAAGCTAATCCTAAAACCGACCTTTAACTGTGAGTCTCAACTGTTCTGAAGCAAAAGTGGAAAGGGGAGTAGCGAGCGCTTCCTTCCTCTCCACCTGTTTGCCTGGGGGATTTTCAGGGTTACACAGCGGTTTCCAGAGGCGACATGAATAATAAAATGGGCATCTGTCATAGTGCAAAATACTGCTTGCTATAAACCTTCTGTGGAATGATGCTTCCCTGCGAAGCACAGGCACGCTGCTCTTAGCACATGAAGAAAAGTAGAAAACAGAGGAAACACGGTGAACACAGGTTCACACAACACTCCGGCAGCCGATCTAGACAGACACTATGGCTTTTTATTTAAAAAAATAATAATCCCAATAGAATCATTAGCCACCGCAGTCATCTGTGTTTTCAGACTCTTCAAGGAGGTTCAGGAGAAAACACAACGTCTGTGTTTTTCTACTGGAAAGGACACTGAAACTTGATCAGCTTTTAAAAAAGAAAACTTTCCACGGAAGAAACAGCAGAGGGTGGTACTTCCCTAGAGCGCCCATCACCTGCCAGGGCGGTGCCAGGCCACAGTCATCAAAAAGCCACAAGATGATGACGTGTTCACGTAATTATCAGTGAAAATATGATTCCAAACTGAAATCGCAAACACATCCATGCATTTCCTTGAATCATCCGAAAATATATTTTCGTTAGATAGTCAAATCTGGGCCTCAGACTGACAGTCCAACCAGGGCATGAAATGATCTCAGCAGACAAGCTGACCCAAGTAGGAGGGAGGAGGCAGTGGGGATTAAATGTGTGCAATTCACAACTGGAGATAAAGTCACCTCTTCAAAAGAACCTAAGTATTCTGGAAGTGTCTGGATTCAAAAGAGCCTGTGTGTCAGTTACAGAGACACGCCACAGGGGATGAACTGTTGCTGAGACACCCAAGCACACACCATAACAGCACATGTACTGGCCTGGCACCACACTGGGGTGATGGCTCCCCGGGAACGTCAGGAAACGGGAATCTGTTTACCTTTTTACTATACTCTGAAGAACAAACTGAAGTCAAGTTTTCATCTAATATGCATAAAACTAAAACCGCAAAAGGAGATGCCGTTTTTCAAATGGTCATAGCTCTAAGCAGTCAGGTTACTCCTGGTGAAACAGAACTTGGCCAAGATAAAAAGTTACTTCTGACGGGGCAGGTGGGTCGCATATATAAGTCGCTTGACAGTATGTGCGGTATTTCCAGGAGAGTCCATCACCTGCTCAGACCCCACCCCAACATGATGACTCAGGGCACCACTGCAAATACTCATACTAAGCGGAAGAACGAGGAATGTATGTATCACGGGGACCACAAAGCAAGGCAGGTTGACAGAAGGCAAACAACAGGCAGGACCAGTTTCTCCACAAGCGCGGGCGGCCATCACTACACGTAGCCCAGATTCTCCATCTCGCTCCTGTACCGCTGTTCAGACACTTTGCTCTTGTGCTGCTTGCTCTCCAGGTGCTGCCGGAACTCGACTTCTTCACCAGCGCCGACATTACACATCGAACAGTAAAACTGGCCACTAGGAGTCACGCACATGGCGAGATCTCGTGGGATCCTCTGCCGAGAGCGGGCATTGAAGTAAGGACCTGCAGAAATGAAATAATCGGGCTGGGAGATGGCTGAAGGATCTGAGTTCAGCTCTCCAACACCCACAGAAAAGCCAGGCACTGTGGCTTATGCCTGTAACTCCAGTACTGGAAAGGTGGAGACAGGAGGATCGTGGGGACGCATTACCAAGCTAACCCAGTCGATCAGTGAGCTCAAAAAATAGCTAGAGAGCAATAGAAAAAGATATCCCAAAACTGATCTTAGCCTTGACACACCTTTACAGGCCTTTGCACGCATGTCCATACACACACACACACACACACACACACACACACACACACAGGCAGATACTCAGAATGCCCACTTAGTAAAAACAACCCACCAATTCTCATTGTAAGAAATAATTCTAAATTTCAATTCAGACTCTAAATAAAGGAAAGCAAAATGGACTTTTTTTTAACTACATGCATATACAAGTTCAATCTATAAACATAAAACGATTCTTCAATTAGTGTCAGGATACTGATGACAGAGACAAGCCCAGGTTCTAAATGCTGATGGTTCTTAAAAATAAAGTGTTTAAAGACTGTAGCCAAGCATGGTGGCTTGGGCCTGTAATTCAGCACTTGGGAGTCTGAGGCAGAAAGATTGTAGCAAAGTTGAAGCCAGTGTGGGCAACACAGTAAGACCCTTCACTCCAGCTGTCTCTGTATTTTTAATACTCTACATAGAGAACATAATCTCTGCCTCCCGCATCCTAAAGCTCATTTTCCTTGACATCAACACAGCTGGGGAGGCTCCTTCATCTCACCTAGTTTTTGAAATCCAGCCTGGCCACCTTTGTCTTTTAGTTGACTTTGGTCCTAACCAGTAATGCATTGAAACTGCACTCATCAGACCACAGACTTTTCTGCCTCTGTAATGTCACTAGCCGTCACTTGTAATCCAGTGAAATTTGGTTTTTACTGTTCATTCAAACAGCCTCTGCGGGCATGCAGTGTTGGAGGCTGTGGCTGCCCGGACTAGGATGAACACAGAGCACTTCTGTAGACACATGGCTCTCCACTGAACGTGCACATCACGAGAACGTCACAGGAAACCGTCATTCACTTCCTGGGTCAAAAATCACCCTTCCCCCAGTAGATGAGACCTGAGCATGGTGTGAGCATGCCAAGTGTCTTCCTCAATCTCTTTCCACTTTATGTTTTGAGATGCAATCTCACTGCCCCTGGAGCTTGCTGACTCAGCTAAGCTGTTTGGTCAGTGAGCTCCAGGGATCTGCCATCTCCACCTGAGGCTAGAGGTTTGAACTGCTATGTCTGGCTTTTACCATATGTGCTTGGGATCAAACTCGAGTCCTCAAGCTTGCATGACTGCATCTTCCCAGCCCTTAAAGGACCCGTTATCTAATGTGCTTTGCATATTTTTTTCTGACAAATATTTTAAAAACCAAGAATTATAAGAGGAATTATAAAACACTAAGATTTAAAAGCAATATAAGTAAGATACCGAATAAGGAAGAAAGAACACCAGAAATAAACAGCAGTCTAGGCAGCCAGCAGAGCAATTCGGTGAAACAATCACTAACCTAATTTCTTGGGGCTATCTACCGCTATCATTTGCAGATTTGTTTACACCTGTAAGGTACATGGGAGCATGCAGGATACCTGAATTGTTCTGGACTGTGTACATATTCCTCCTGGTGGCCACCATCTTAAATTCACTCCCTTCCTTCCGGGTCCGCCTTGGCCCTGCCTCTGCAGAGTCCCTGGAGAAAATGAATTTGAAATGAGTGAGACATCCAAACAGGGCTCCCTTTCATCTCGTCCTTTAAACACAGCTGCTCTCCCATAACAATCTGGTCTCAGAGACAACGGCAACACCTACAAGAACGAGCTGCTCTGAGCTTCAGCCAGACGAAGTCTCTTGGCGTGGTTCTTCCCCTGGTAGTGGGCCTGCGCCACCGCGGGGGAGCTGAAGGAGGCGTCACACAGCTTACAATAGTCCTTCTCGGTGGCCAGGATCACTCTTCCCCCTGGCTTGCAGGAGCCCACCTGCCAGGAAAGACACAGAAGGACAGTTACGCCTTCCCACTCCTCCGAGATCCTTCAGAACAGAGCCAGAGCCGCAGGCACTGAGTCTTGTAAGAAGAAAGCAAATTCCAGAGAAGAGACTGGGAGACCCTTTATCCCATTTTGGATTCTAACTACCTATGAACCAACTAGGATGATGCTAGCTCTACTGAACATTTAGGGCAGGAGGCAGTAAGTAAGTAAGGCTAAAATCTCCCCAGAGAGAGGGAAGTCTGCTCCATATCCACCAGCAAACACTTACTGAGCACCAACTGTGTACCGAGCAGCCCGCCTAGACGAAAGCTGCAAAGTCTTGAAAGCTCCAGTCCTACAAACTCTCCAAACCACGTGTGGGTAAATAACCAGGGGGAATGACTTAGTGAAGCCAGACAACACGTTAAAAGAAACCAAACGCCGTCAGGATCAAATTCCATTGGGTCAACAAAAGTTATTACAAAGCAAATTTTGGCTAGAAATGAACATATGGTTAAGATTGCGGAAACCACACCTTATCTAGAACAGTTTTAAAAACCAGCACTGTGTGACCTGGACGAGAAGACTCTCGGGGACAGCACAACATCTGTCCGTGCTAACAGATTTCACAGAGGTCTGTGCTAAACAAACAAGGTGGGCCAGGCTGTTTCCCAAGAAGGAAGGGCACAGCCGCCTGACTCTAGAGCACCTATCCTGAAGGAACCCCTAATGTGAAAACCACTGGGCTGGAAGTGCCCCTGCTGCCGTTTTGAATATAGCTTATCTTCTGTAAGTCTGAGGAGGCCCAGCAGGGGCACCTACACACATTTTAAGCAGAGAAACACTCAGGAAAGTAACATTATACCGTGGTAGTTGGGAACACTAAGATGGCAAAAAATTTTTGCTCTGCAACATTTCAAAATATGCGACATCATGGAAAGTTACTGAGCTTTCCCAGGCTTTTAATAAGGCCCCATGAGGCCCATGCGGCTGGCCCACGGACCACGCTTTGAATAATAAGGCTAACACTTCCAAGTAATGGCAAATACTAAATGAGGCCAGGGCCCAGCACTAGAACAAAACCAATTATAGACTTACCTGGTGTGCAGGATTTAAGCCAGCATCAACAGCATTCAAGATAAGCAATATTTTAGTGGAATTTTTTAGACTTTATACATATGAGTTTGTTATCTACATGTATTATGTGCATCCTGTGTACCAGACTAGGAACTGCAGTGACAAACGGTTGTGAACCAACATGTGGGCGCTTGGAACAGAATCCAGATCCTCCGCATGAGCCATAAGTGCCCTTAACCACTGAGCCATCTCTCCAGCCCTTCAATTATTCCCCCAGGGCCAAGCCTAGCTATCACATGGTCATTTAACCTAGAATTCTGAAAGCTATATAAAAATAGACATAACTATTTTTCCATCCTCTCACACAACACGGTCAAGTCCAATGAGAGATCTCAAGGGTCAAGAACTGGCAGGCACAGCTCAAGGGGTTAAGAGTACACAGAACCTTTCAGGGTGCTATCATCCAGACTGGCCCTGACAGACAGAGTCACAGGACCTGCAGTCATGACCACCACATGCACGTGACAGCCTCTTCACACTGCTCTGCCTCACCTGTGGTGGGACAGGAAGGAGGGGTGTGGCTACAGGCTCTACCACGCTGCTCATCCTGGCTGGAGGAGGACAGCTGTTGGCTGCATAATAGTTTCGAAGTTTCTTGCCATGGTTTTTACCCTGGAGGGAAATAAAAAGAGGACAGTTTATCAGGTAGCGATCAGCGGACACGCACAGGTGTGCAGTCAACTGACCCTCGCCAGAACTGACGCCAGGGAGCCTGTTGTAGGCTGGAGTTTGCTGCTGTGGTAAACACCATGACCAAGAGCTTACAACACTTCCAGGTCATAGTGCATCATGGAGTCAGAGCAGGAAGTGAAGGAGGGCAGAATCTCAAGCAGAAACCATGGAGGAGCACTGCTTCTGGCTCACTCCCTGGCTCATGCTCAGCGGCTCTCTTACATAGTCCAGACGCTCCTCCTCCTCCTCTTCCTCTTCCTCCTCTTCCTCCTCCTCCTCATCCTCATCATCATCATCAATTAAGACAAGCTCTCACAGACACGGCCACAGGCCAACCTGATGGAAGCAACCCTTCACCTGAGATTCCCTCTTCCCAGGGCTGCGTCAAGGTGTCAATAACAACTAAGCAGGGCAGAGTCTACTATTTGTTTATAAGCAAACAGTTATATTTATCGGGAGAAGATAAAAAACTGAAGGCAAGGAAACTAATTTCCTCTGAGTTTCCGGAGAAGCCTCGCACTCCCGGGAGCCACATCCTCCCCAAGGCTCATCACTGTTCACACACCACCGCATCAGCAGGACTCTTGAGATGCTCTGATCTAAGAGACTTCAGAATCAAATCATGAGACAGCTAATACAATAATTTTTACAAAAATAGCACTAATGGAGGGTCACTTCATAGCGAGGGCTCTGATGAACCTCAGTTCATTCACCGCCCACAGAGACCCCGTAGGACTCTGAGATCACCTGTACCTGACAGTGGAGGAGCTAGTGGGGGTGGGGCACCAGCAGACCATGGCTTCAAATGGGCTCATCACAGCCCTTACTATGCATCACAATGCCCAGTCAGAATGGCCTTTCTCACCATGTTTTGGTTGTCATTGTTAAAATTGACACGAGTATATTCCATGAGCTGATAAATGAACAGCAACTGGTGGCAAAGATGAAAAGTCCTGTGGCGGGGCTGGAAGGACGACCCAGAAATTCAAATAGCTCGCCGCTACTATGGAGAACCTGGGCTCAGTTTCTAGCGCCCACATCAGGCAGCTCACAAGCACCTGTAACTTCAGTTCTACGAGACCGATGCCCTCTTCTGGCCTCTGGAAGCTACACACACACACACACACACACACACACACACACACACACACACACACGATGCACATACATTCATGCAGGCATGCACACACACATAAAAACAAATCTTTAAATGCACACTGAGTACGGGGAAAATAGTTCATTACTTGCTAAACCACACTGAGAAATTTAAACCTACATACCAATATTCACCATCCACGACCTGCTTACTCCCTGGAGTGAACTAGGGACTAGCACACAGCCTGAAGACGGCTCAGCTTCATCCCCTGCCATCCAAATGTTCTAGCTATACCACCCCCATGTTTCTGCTCCCCTCTATGGTTGTGCCTTCGAGGAGCTCTGCGCGGCACACAACCATTGATCTCGCTGCTCCCAGAAGCGGTCCTTCTCAGCAAGTCCTCTCCTCTGTGGCTCCCTCTTTCCTCTTCACACGGCTCCTCCTCTACCAGCCCTTGAGCTCTGCAGTGGGGAGGCCCACCCTGGGCTCTCTTCTCTGTTTGCAATCCAACTCTAGTTCACTCTGCCCGGCCTCACAACTTCATGAGACAGTGAATAAGCGTGAAGGCGGGGGAGTGGGGCTGTCTCACAGCACAGGCTGCCCTGGAGCTCACTACATGGCTGAAGAGGACCTTGAGCACATTCTCCTCCTGCCTCCACCACGTTCAGCTTCTGCAGTGATGAAGATCCACCCAAGGCTTTGTGCACACGTTCATCAGCGGAGCTACCACCCAGCCCTAAGACAATGAGTAAGTTTGTGGGTCCCCAGATTGTGGCTGCGTCTCCGACTTTCACAGTCACATTCCCAAGGACCTTCTTGTTTCCTTGATTCCTTCCAACAGGACATTTCGTCACCATCCAAGTCATGCACATATCCATAAATGCCACCACCCACCCACTACTTCAGAAAGCTGCCGAGGCCCTCTTGTGCTTAAATCTACACTTCCATAAACCCAGCACATCTAATATATTGGCGAGCCCTATCAGCCCGCCCCCAAACCCGTCTCCAGCCCTGCCATCTTTCTCAGTGACACCAACCATATAGGGACACAAACTGCTGACACCTGGTACGTGCAGCCGTAGCTCCTCCCACCGGGCTCTCTGTCTGGTCCCCTTGTAATTCTCATAAACCAGTGACATTGACTGAAGGCATAAATCAAACCAGGTAGCCTCCCTCTCTTAATCCACTACCGGCTGTGAATGTACTCAGCAGGGGAGTGCTTGCCCAGCATGGGCAAGAACTAGGTTTGATTTCCCAGCACCACAAAGAAAATCTACAGAAGTCTCACAGACAGGTGTTTTAAGGTCCTACCTGCTCTGACCTCGCCTACCTCCCACATTTGTGTCTCCCCAAGTACTCCTCCCCCTGCCTGCCATTCTCCTAGCTTGTTGGCCTGCTTTCCTGAGCTGCTGGCTTCAGGGCCTTTGTCCTGCTGTGAATTCTGCCTAGGAATTGGCTCTTTTAGCCTTCTGCAAGTCTGGATCATTCTCTTTGTGAAGTGTCAGCTTCCAAGACAACTCATGAATGTCCCTGCATTCATGTGTACATGATTGTACATGTGCTGCACATGTGTACATATGTCAATCACATGACCACATCACCTGATGTCACTTTATCGCAGTACCACAGCACCAAACCCGATTTGTTTGTTTTTCCCCCTCCTCTGAGCTGTAGACTCCTTAAAAAGAAGGACCTCCACCACCCTGCTTTCCACCATGCCCAGAATGCTTTCTGATCTACAACAGGTAACCCGTAAATACTGGTTGGAGAAAAGAATCAGGTATTGTGGTGGGAATAATATTAAAGAAGAAGAACAAAACTAGGAAACCACGGGGTGCCCTATTTCTGTCTGTGCCAGGGAGGCGTCTCTGGGAAGGTGACCACGTCAGCTCTCAGACAAGTCCCAACACATTTTCACTACCATCAGGAACAAAATACTGATTTGTCCACTCCCTCCACGCCTGCTCAATACAGGGCTTGAAGTCTTCGCCAGATCAATAGACAACTAAAGGAAAACACGAGAGTACAAATTGGAAAGGAACCTAAGGCAAGCAAAGTCAGAACAAACTCATGTGGGAACTCGAAAAGACAGAGGTCAAAAATCAGTCTTGGGAAGGATCACATGGAGCACCGCTCGATGAAAGTCACGTGGGCTGGATTAAGGAAAGAATGGAATGTGGGCTGCGGAGGAAGAGAGACGGCTGTACAGAAGATCTCTCCAGAGAAGAGGTGGACACAGAGTTAGTCAGGAGAAAACGGGGTCACTGGGACCCAATGGGGGCAGAGGAGGAAGATACAGAGTTGGGGGAAATGGGGGTCACTGAAACACTTTGAAGACATGATGGTAGATGGTCATATTGGTGCACGCCTTTTAACACTGCACTAAGGCGGCAGTAGCAAGTGGATCTCTGTGAGCTCAAGGCCAGCCTAGTCAACGAGTGAGCTCCAAGCCAGCTAGGGGTACAAGGTATGTACTGAGGGCCCATCTCAAAACCCAAACAAACAAACAAAAGAGACTTGGTAGTCCACACCTGTAATTCCAGCTAGTTGGGAGGCTGAGGAAAGAGTCACACAAGGTCAAGGCCTGCCTGGGTGACAGGAGTGTCAGAAACAGTGCAAGAACGGAGTCCTGCGAGAGGAATTCTGAGCAGTTGTGGGAACACTCCAAGAAAACAAGACAAGAGTCTTGGGACTTCAGTTTCTTCAAAACACTGAATTGCTCTTGGGATGTGTTTTCATGTTCCTCCCAGGTGTAGCAGACAAGAGCGAGTTTTCTTTAGATGTTGTTATTCATGAGCCTCTATGGAAAGAAGTGTTTTTGCCACATTGGGCTTGACCTTGTGGTTCTACACCTTACTCAGTGACTCTCAGAGTAGAAACCATGTGGTGCACTGAAGGAAATTTACTATTGCATGAGGCTTTCTTTAGTCTGCCTCATTTTTAGACCCTGCTTTCCCAGGTTCACACCTCCAACTAGAGCAGCAAACACAGGAGTATCTCGAAATTAAGAATTGAGAAGGGGTTAGGGACACAGTTCAGTGACAAGAGAGAGCAAAGGCCTCGCAGGAACAAAGTCCTGGTCCCAGCCCCAGCACCATCGCTTCCTGCCCACACTATCTGGCAAACCCCACTGCAATTACAGCCACTGCCCATGGAAATCAACACTGAGCAAAAGTGTGATGATAAAAACACACTTGTGGCCTCAAAATCTCTCTCCATCTGATCCTTATTCAACAGATCAACAGTGTCTTTTCCAAGGAGACCCTTTGTAGGCACCACCTTAATTGAGAGACAACATCAGGAGAGCCTCTCATGACTCAAGCAGCAGGACGGACAGAGCACCGTGTCTGTAGTACTATCACCCAAAACTACACACCCTGAACCCAAGTGAACAAGGCCAAGGCTGAACCACTCTACAAACCCTGTAAAGTCGTTAAAGGAGGCAAACACGAAGAAAAGGCGGTGGAGGAACAGCCTGCCCAAACTACAGAAGACACTAGAATTACATGTAAGCTTTCATTTTGGATTGGGCACCAGGGGCAGGAGGAGCTATGTGTAGACAGCGGGTGAAATGAAGACAGTTGAGCGCAGAGTGCAGACGGTTTCCATCCATGTCCGCCCTTTGGTTTGCGTTGGTTGAGTTTGTTGCTGCTTCTGCAGGCTAGGTAGCTCAGGCTGGCTTGGAACTCACTACGAAGCCAAGTTGAACACATGGCCACCCTGGCTCCAGCTCCCAACTGCTAGGCTTAGCTACATAAAACAAACAAACAAACAAAACAAGATCAGGCACAGGGAACTGTGTAGACTACTTAATACATACTGACTTGACGGTTCTGTGTCAAAA